ATCTACTTGATGACTTTATATCCATGCTCAGGTGCCAAGGATCTCAGAAAGTTAACATGTGTTTTTGTCTCTCTGAAATGTGCACACATCAATATAAAAAAATAAAGATTTTTTTAAAAGTCATGTTCAAAACTAAGAAAAGAAAACTCAAGGAGAAAGCTAATATCTGTTTAGGAGAATTTATAACCTAAAGGTTTTTCCTCTTCCTTCCTGTTCTTTGGTTGCAGAATTTGATATGGCATAGGTTATAGATGAAGGCAAACAAGAAATGTATGTGTGTGCATGTGTGTGTGTGTGTGTGTGTGTGTGTGTTGTGTGTGTATGTGTGTATGCTGCCTGTAGGAATTTTAACTCTTAAATAGAAACAAATATGATAATGTTTGAAGAGAGACTAGAGAATATTATATATATATATAATTGACTTATGTGGATATATATGTTATCATTACTAATATCTTTGTAGTTTAAAGCTAAGGAAAAGACATTATTCAGTTAATCAGAGTGACAAGCAATCAGTAATACTTGCTACTTTTAAAACATTTGAGCAAGTATAGATTTTTACCACTTTATATTGTGTGTTGTTATTTATAGAGAAAGGTCTACAAATTGCACTGTAAGCTCATTGGACATGTGGGGGTCTATCTTTTTTTTAATTTATTATTTTTATTTTATGTGTATGCATGTATTGCCTGCATGTAGGTAAGTGCACCCGTGTCGTGCAATGCCTGCGGAGGTCAGAAGAGGCTGTCGGATCCCCTGAAACTGGAGTTACAGACAGTTGTTAGCTGCCATGTGGGTGCTGGGATTTGAACCTGGGTCTTCTGCAAGAACAACCAGTGTTCTTAACCGCTGAGCTACCTCTCCAGCCCCCGGGGGTGGGTGTCTATCTTTTAAAGAAATTTTTTCAAAGCTGAATCTAACACAGTACATGTATAGGATGGGCAGTAAGTGATCACAGATTATTAATAGTAACATGGAAGTGAAATTAGTAGGCATAAGATATAATTGTTCATCGATTTTGGAGGGCTGGAGAAATGGGTCTGTGGTCTAGAGCACTTGTTGCTCTTCCAGAGGACTTGAATTCAAATTTTCAGCAACCACATTGGGTGGTTCACAACTGCCTATAACTCCAGGTACTGGGGAATCAGATGTCTCTGTCATGTGCCATCATCTGCACTCATGTATGGGTCCTTCCCACATGTGAAAGCATGTGCCTACACACACACACACACACGCACAAAACACATACCACACACGTACCACCCCATACTTATACTTAAAAACTCTTCAAAATTAAATCTTTAAAAAAAGAAACATTTTTATGTTGATTAATGACTAGATTTTTCCTTGAAACAAACATAAATTTTTCCTTTCATCGTGAGAACAAAACCCAAAAGGATTCTTTGGCTTTCCTTCCTGTGTCTGATGGACACATGAAGCTCAGGGGATGGCTGTGTGTTCATGCCTGCTTCTCTGCCTTATGTGCTCTGTTCTAGGAGAAAGAATATAATTTGAAAGTTTTAGGCATGCTATTTTAAAAAACATTTTCTATAAAGTATGGTAAATGAAATTAAGGATATCTGACTCTGCAACCAATCAGGGAGTTAATTGCTTAACTGTTACCTTGATGGCAGCTGCCTAGATATCTTTTCCTCTGTGTAAGTGGATTGCAGTCACAGGTGTGTTTGTGTCCTCTTTCAGTTTTGCTGATCACCCTGAATATCCATTTTCTGAGGAATATTAACATGTGGGCCTTGTCGTGAATTCTGCCCGAGGTCTATGAGTGTGGACACTTCTGTGGGTGATACGACTCGGATGCTGCTGGTCAGATACATCATTTCAGGTCAATCTAGGCTAGTTAGCAGCTCACATTCAGCTAAAGCTTCGGCTGCCATTCCTCAAGAGAAGGCAGCGTTTTCCCAGTGCTTTGAAATAAATAGAACATTAAAGATACTTCCCTGGTTTGTTTTCCTTATACTCCAAACTGGTGTTGGTGGAAGTCTGTGGGCAGCGTTTGGGCGATGATAATTCCCGTTTTATAAACAGTTTTGGTGTGGGATTAGGTAGAGTTCTCAGACTCTAGGGAAGTGGCTCTGTGGTGGGGGCTTCTGAGTCAGTGGTCCTCTAGCCCACGGATCAATAAGAAAACACGGTAGGCAGTCCATGATTGTCCATCAGCATGGTGAGGCGCACAGGGGAAGGTTGACCAGCTGTGCCCGGGCTTCACCCCATTCACTCAGTGTCAGAGTCCTGGATCTGAGAAGTGAGGCATTCCTGAGATAGTTTTAGCCAATGAGGTGACAGGAAAGCACCCTGGCAGGATCTCTGGAGTCAGACAGGGAAAGTTGAGAAGGGAGTTGAACACAGCTCTGCTTGGGGAAAAAAAACCCAAAACCCAAGGGTTTTTCTTGTTTGTTTTGTTTTGTTTGATAATTATATGCTACAGGCAAAAAGGAGCTTTTCACATGTTTAGTTCAGTAATACAGTTGAGAGGTATTCCTAGAATCATTTTAAGAAGAAAAATTAGAATTAATTAAATTAAGACATGCTTATGAGAATTATGATGCCTTGCTACAATGGGATGTTATGTATCTCCTGAAAGTTTAGCATATAGGGAGATGTCAACAAAATGCTAGACTGGAAAGCTCCACATTCTCCCAATGGAAGCAAGAAGGACCCTCACTCTAATTAGAAAATGGTTAGTGACTCCCACAGTATTTGTGCCACTGCTGCACCAGTGGCTATATCTTCCCAGGCAAGTTGTTGGTGCAGCTTGCAGGACTCACAGGCAGGTAAGGTTGCGATTGTGTGAATAGCACCTTTCAGCACCAGGAAAGCTAGCAAGTAGAGATGAAGCTTTGAAGTCAGTGCCATCTTGATTTCTTCTTGTTTGTTCTGCAGCTCATGTACGTTGTGTCTTCAGCAATAGGGTTTTATCATCACCTTCTGGTGGGTAACCAAGAGCAGGGGCAATGGCTAGTATTGTTTGAGAGTCTGTGAGACCTCTGGTCAGTAGTTTTAAATTCCCATTGCCAAAATTTGCCTGGCACCATGTGGTCTTGGCCTATAAAGTGGTATCAAACTTTTACTGTTTTTTCTCAATGCAGACTAGGCATTCTGAGCATTACAGAAACTTATCTAATAGGTCTCAGTCTCTGAATGATGCACCACACTGTTTCTGTGCTTATCATTTCAAAATGATTTACTTGGGCTGGAGAGATGGTTCAGAGGTTAACAGAGGTTAATTGCTCTTACAAAGGACTCAAGTTTGACTCCCACCACCCATGTCAACTGTCTTACAACCATCTGTAGCTATGGCTCTAAGATATCTGAATCTTTCTGGCCTTCTCAGGCAATTGGACACCCCCACACAGACATACATGCATACACATAGTTAAAAATAAAACCAGAATTTTCTATGTCCTTCCAGCCCTGCATACACCTTACCACTATAAATAGCTGACAACATTGATCTACCATATGGTCTAAGCCGTCCCACTCTTGGGCATATACCAAAAACGTCTCAGAAATACCTGTTCATCATGCTCATGGAGGCCCTTTTCATAATAGCTAGAAATTAAAAACAACCTAGATGTCCATCAACTGATGAATGGATAATGAAGGTGTGGTACATATACATAATGAAATATTACTCAGATCTTAAAACAATGAAATTATGAAATCCACAGGTAAATGGATGGAACTATAAACAATCCTCCTGAGTGAGGTAGCAGAGACCTAGAAAGGCAAACATTGTATGTTCTATCTCATTGTTAGATGTATCCAGAAAGTCAGGAAACTAATAAACGGCTGGGGTGGGTGGAGGCTTCCTTGGAAAGGTGGTAGAATGCAGTGATATAAAAGAGGAAAGGGGAATAATAGAGTAGGAGTGGTTAAATAGGGTGGCGAATGGGAGGGCGGGACAAAGGACAGTGTAGGCAGAGGGATCAGGAACACTAAAGGTCTTTAGGAAAAGTTATATGGAAACCCACCACTATATAAGCTTTTAAAATATATACACACACACACTAGAAAAAAAGATTAAAAGAAGTTATCCTAAAACAGGGGTACATTGCCCCTACTAGATACATAGACTAACAAAGAAAAACTCCAATGCCAGGAATGAATTCCCTTTTTTGAAGCAGTTGACCAGGGGTCCAATAGTCCCTTAAACAATACTGGTCATAGCCTCTGTTCTTGAATACACAACAGACCTTGATGATTAGATCCTGTTGCTGAATATACCACATTTATGAGCTGTAGAGCAAACAAGGAGAAATTAAGGACTGGTGCTGACTTCAAAGCTTTCATAGGGGATATGCATGCTACCAGAAGGAAAAGATAATCATCAACTTTACCCAGCAGTGAATCCTGTGAACAACAAGATATGCCGACCTGTACAAAAGTGCCACAGGTATTATGGGAGGACCCAACCTAATGGAATTTAAGGTCCATTTACTAAGTTGGAGCTCATATCTGGCATTGATATCAGACCTAGGAGTCTGAGGCTAGACAGGTCACAGGACATAGGGGAGAGTCCAGTATTAATTTTATCCTGAATAGTTATCATATTAAACTGACTCCTAATGACTTATTGTTACACCCATAGATTAATGCATCTCTCAACTCTCCTTATGTAGCAGATGGTGATTAACACAGAGATCCACAACTATCCAATGTGCAGAGAAAGTGCTTATCCCAGAATAAGACACATATATAAAGCTTCTCCTTCCCTTATTTCAGAAGATAGATTGGAAAGATTGTAGGAGCCAGAGATGGTGAATGACCATAAGGAATTAGAGTTTTTTTCAGAGAGGTTGACAGTTACTCATATGAACTCACAGAAATAGTGATAGCATTCATGTAATCTCAAGCCAGACAAAATCCCAGCATGGACATGGAGAGGAGCATAAAAAACCAGTTCTTCCTGAGGAACTCTTGGCGACTGACAGCTGCTGGGATGTGGAGAGTCAATCTCTTTTAATGGTGTGACTCTGGTAGGTTAATCAGGCTGCAGTGGATGGACTCACACAAAGGACATTTGGAGACCCAAATTTGACTCTATAGTATATATATATATATGGTGTACCTTGGGGCTAGAGAGATGGCTCAGTGTTTAAGAACACTGACTGTTCTTGCAGAAGACCCAGGTTCGAATCCCAGCACCCACATGGCAGCTAACAACTGTCAGTAACTCCAGTCCCAGGGGATCCAACAGCCTCTTCTGTCCTCTGTGGGCATTGCACGACATGGGTGCACTTACCTACATACAGGCAATACATGCATACACATAAAATAAAAATAATAGATAAAATATTTTTTAAAGGGTACATTAAATTGGGAGGGAGTAGTAAGTGGAGGTGTGGATAGGGGTTGCAATCTAAGTATGATCAAAATATATTGTATGAAAATTTCAAAAATTTAAATATGATAAAATAAATACCTGACATTAGACAGAAAAATCTCAGTTTGTGGTGCTTTCTTTGTGTACCTTACAAATTATTTTCCACAGAATGTTTGTGTGCCATAGGAAACACAAGGAAATAAACTTGATTTTCTCTTCATTTCAGAATATGATTAACATAATGCCCAGCAGCCTTTCCCAAAGCATGGAAAATTGAGCAGGAGTCTCTAGACACTTTCAACTCTGTATGATTTCTTATTTTAATATGGCTTGATCTTTTATATCTTCCTTTAGCTTCACAGAGGCTCTAGGAGGGATTCATCAATGTTCAGCAATTCTAAATGCTTTTGAGTATGTCAAAAATGCAGTGGGAGATAATGTGGCAGGGAGAAATTTGTTACCTTCAATTGTTTTATTAGGATACCACGAGGGCATAAATCTACATTATATTGGCTTTAACCCTCACAGACATATTTAACTCCATGACAGGAAGTCCAGAGAAAGAGCTGTGGGTGTTGTCCATTGGGGGTTCACATCTTCCATCTCCTCCTGGGCCTTCTCTCTTCTGTGGGTCGACCTCATGTTCAGGCTGGGTGAATAAGTCATATCAGTGTCACACCTTGTGGAGCAATGGTACAGTATCCGATAGAAGAAGCAGATGATCCTCTTTTATTAATGCTTCTTACAAAAGATGTGATACTGCCCTAGCAGGGTCCCCTCTCCTGTAGCATGGGCTAGGACTGAATCATAGTGCTCAGTGATTACATGATAAAGTCATTGCAATCAACATGAGGGACTGAATCAATTACTTTGTAGGGACAAAAAGATGTTTTGACACCGTGCTTGATGCAATCATAGTAAGAAAGGGGTGATTAAAGGCTTCCTATCTGTATTTCAAACTGTTTGGTTAGCTCTTGAAGGCTGATTATGTCTGCTTTACTATAGTCCAAGGGAATAAGAATCCTTGGGGCTAGGACTCAGCTTTAAATGAATGTGTCTATGTAAATAAAACCAAAACTATGCTAATTATAGATACATTTCTCATGTATTTAGTGCAAAAATAGACTATTAGTTGAAAATACAGGCCTTGTCCATCAGCTAGCTTGTTTTGAATGACAATTTATAAAGAGAATGATTAGAGTCTCATCAGCTTTCCCTTAATTTAGAATTTAACCTAAGTTAAATGCTTAAACTTTCACAGACACTGATCTACTTGGGTTCATGGGATCTCAGGAGACCCAATTCCAAATCTTACAAATCAAGAACTTGACGAATGAACATGTAATGGGAACCACAGAGCCAGAGAACTGTTTAGTGTTCAATGTGCTAAGGTTAAGATTTGTTTTACAAAGCAGTTACAAGTAGTAAAAGTCGGAGAAGCTCCAAGAACTGTGTTCTAGGTATGAGCATTTACACTTAGGAGTTGAAAATGCCAGTCTACTGGACCGCTTGAGTTGTCTGCAGAAACAGCCGAAAGTGATGTCAGCAGCAGAGTGTGTCGCGATGTGAGTAATTAATAGAGGCAAGATGATGCTAGCTTACACCTTAA